GGGGCCGTCAGGACTAAATTGCTCCTCGCCTTGCGCCTCGGGTAGGGGCGTAGAAACTGGCTTGTCTTTGGGCAAGTCGTTGGAAGAAACGGGCGTTAAGAAGGTGCAATGCTGGCTGGCCAAAGAGAGCACACCATCGTAGAAGCTGTTTGCATTGGCATAGAATAGAGGTCCCGAGGAGCGCACAATGCATATTCCAGGAAGCTGGTAGGCCTGTTCGGCAAGTGAGTGTGCAGTAAAGAAGCAAATGTACGTTAATGATAAGAGGCCGTTTAGTCACTAATAGGAACCGTCGCCATCGGATCTCAAAACTAGCCTGCAAATGCCAGGATTATGGTGCACAATTATGTTGAATAGAGCGGACAAGGAGTTAAATCATGCCTATAAGATAGGAGTAAAGCTTTGTATATTTACATTAGTCGCATTCCTCTCATTCATGGTTTGGTGCCGGAAAGTTTAGCAAAAGAAGCATCCCCTACCGCCGAAAGATAGCTGTTTCATTTTTTATAAAATCTTCATCGTTATTAAGCACGGCTTTCTTAAAACCAATTTTTCAAACTCCATGATGAGGGTTAAAGCATGCTTCATACGTCCAAGGGTTCAGAGCCCCCGATACTCTAAATATTTTATCAAATACAGAACAAAACTAGTCAAAATTATATACACGCCGTTAGAGTATGAATTGGTATTTATCCCTCGCGCTATTATAAACACACCAAGCCAATTTCTCGGCATGACACTAACATTTATCTTCCTGCCTGCTCAGAAAGAAGTAGCTGATTGTTGACTAATAGTGCCTATTTAAGATGGAGAATTCATTTAGCACACAAATCAACGGTCATTCGATAGTCCCAACAAGTAAAAAAATCGTATAATGAATAAAGTTTTTACAATGATTTGCTTTTAATTAGGAGTCGTCATATCAGACAATTTGCATTCAAAGTCCGAAATAGCCTGAAAGTAAATTGGAAAAAATAGTCGGTTTGTGGATGCCAAAAGAAAATCTTTTAAATTCCGATTTGTGGGCCCATATACCCTTGCAGGTGGTTTTGTGTTCGGATGACTTCTTATGTATGGGTCTACGGGTCTCTCCCACATAGGCACTACCAGATGAACACAAAATCTTAGTTCGCTATATGGACGACCACTTTGCTATTTGGCAACATGGCAAAGAAAACCTGAAGAATTTTCTTGGTTTGATGAACAGGATCGATGGGAAGACGAAATCCACCATCGAGTTTGAAAAGGAAGATGGTTTAATTTTTCTTGATTTCCTAGTTTGCAAATAAGGGACCAGATTAAGCCGAGATGTGTATAGGAAACCCAAAAATGAAGGTTTCCTTTTGAACTTC